GGCTCTATATCAGTTTATTTCCTACACAATCTAAGCTCCTGCTTAGACTGACAAAGTCAAAACCCCAGTAAGGACTTAGTGCCTGACCTTGCTTAAGGCTTAAGCAGCCGTCAGACCTTCTCCAGCCTGTTGAGATCTGTAAATAACCCCACACCCTAGGGAACCTAGGTAACAGCACTCATCTTTTCCTGAGGGACACGTGGTGGCCCAAAACCAACTTGGGGCTCCCTGTTCAAAAAAGAAGTGCGTGGGGGGCGGGGGAGGGGTCAGGAAGTTAGGCCCCGAGGTACTTGGGTTGAGGCAGGTGGCCTGACAATAAATGGCAGAATGGACTAAGCAAAGGGAAGACTAAACTCTTCGGGGTGGTACAGGCCCTGCTGCCACCCCCCGCTGCAGGGCACCCCTTCCTCCTACCTTTCCCTGACTCACCCCTAAACTGCCAACATGAGAAACACCTTCTACAACTCTTCATTATCCTCTCAAATGTTGGACGACAATCAAATGCACTCGGCTCATTCCCCATGTGGGACACACTTGCCGTTGCCCACGGTCACACTGCGAGGACGACGAAGTGGAGCAGGAACCCGGTCCAGGTAACTCGGGGGCTCCGCTCCCGAGTCGGTGCAGCGGCGTCGGGTATTCCGGCTGCCTAGAGGGGCTATTCCGCCCTCACATCACCCCCTTCTCACAATGGATCAACCCCGCACGCCCCGCGGTGCCGCAATGGGCCAGCCCCCCGCGCCCCCGCTCCTCGCGGCACTCAGCGCCCAGCCCCCCCAGGGTGCTGAAGGTTCCTTCCGAGCTGCTGTCGGCCCCCAGCGCGCTCACCTTTGGCCTTGCCTTTTCGCCAGTGGCGAGGGCTACGTCTCTTGGGCCCCTTTTTCGCCCTCTTCGAGACTGGGGCCTCGGCGGCCACAGGTGGCCACGTTTCCGGAGCTGACTCCATCAGTTCTCCGCGGTGCCCGCGCCCCGGTGGGTTACAGTCGCCAGGCGGACGGGCTCCACTGGCTCCACAGCAACCAATCCCGCGCCCGCTCCGCTCTGGGCCCCGCCCCCCCGGCGACCGGGCTCCGGCTCCACCGCCAGGGTCTCCGGCTCGGCCCCGCCCCCTCGCGCGCGTTAAAGGAGCCGCGACCAG